ACAGAAACTTGTTGGCAATGCGAAACATTTTGTGGATTCATCGATAGCCATTCCCCTTTCCGAATATCCAACAATTGTTTTGCGAAACGTTCAACGGATGCATCATCTTGTAGTTGTTCACGCAAATCGGTCTTCAAAGTCAATTTCTGTACGTGTCGCCAAAAAACTGGATATTTAAGGCATGTATTTAATTAATCATCATATGTTGAACGTGGTATAACTGGTAGAGTTGTCGAAAATAAAAACACAATAAAATAAGTGTGTTACCGAAGAGCTGTTCATTTCCTCTCATATTTTTTTAGTTTTCGTAGTACATTCGTCCCAAATAATGAGTTGATATGATTGGACTACTTTAGCTGTTCCAGAATTTTTGTTGACATTGCATGTTGGATGTCGTTCATGGATTAGAAATGATAAAATGCGACATACTGCGTTATTGGTACTAATGTTGCGCCCCAGTTGATATTGGTAGATTGGCGTTTCATTATCCACTCCAAACACGGCCATATCGTTTTCTTTGTTAACAAATTTGCAAATGCAATTGATCAATTTCACCGAATTGCAATACTCGGTGATTGCGGTACAACCCAAAGATTATCCACTTCAACATCATTGTTTTGTACTGCTAAAGTGATTGATTTGCCATCATCTTCAGTTGATCGTCGACGATAGAGTTTTTATCCGTCTTTGCTAGTGATAGTCTCCGCAAGTCAATCTCTTGTGTACCGTTTCGTGCATTTCCCATCAGACATGCATCGTGAATCGTTATTGAGTAAGCCACATGAAGCATGAATCATGTTTTTAGTGACGACTTCAAATAGGTATTGATCAATGTCGACATCTGGTAGTTCTGCTGAAATGACTTGATCAATTTGATCTGGTGTGACTTTTTCGATCAACAAACTCAAAACATGTGCATGGGGCAATCTCCTATTTTGCCATTCAATGACATTCATAAAACAGCGTGTCCCTCTATAAAAAAGATGATCCTTGACAATGAAATATTTTCTAGATTTCCATTGTTTGTTTGAACACACGCGTGGAAATATCATGACGATCCGTTGATCATGTCCAGTCAACAAAAGTTCTTGCATTTCATCCCCCGTAGGATTGCATGTAAAGGTAATTTTTAAAAATCTGGGCGGCCAAATGCGCGAACATCGGTCGTTGCATCGTGTGCTTTTTCATGGATGTGCCGTGGACTCCCTGTAAATGTGGCCGGTAGTAGGACTCTTTTTCCCCAAGTCATTGGGATTCTCATTGTCTTCATTAACAACTGCATCTCGTAAATGAATGGGCTCTTTGGAAAGCAACTTGATTTGATTAAATCGCATGTTCGCATACATATCGACAATGCACTGGTAGAACAATCGCCGACATTTCAAGATATGATTTTCAGCGCTCTCACGATTCATCTTGATGTGAATAGTAATTAATGGCACTAACTTTCTTATTCGTTTCTTCATCTGTTTGTGGATTTCTCAATTTGATGTTGAAATGATAGCCATCTTCTCCTTGCCAAAATAAAATTGGATATAGCAATCCGTCATATGAGCAATGAGTTTCTGAGACTTGATGAACATCACCATTTCTGCAATGAAGAATTATATCACGTGAGTTAAATTCTTCGCCAACTATAATGATCGCCACTTCATCAATTGTTGGTGCATTGCATTGTCTTTCATGTTGGCCGACAGGTGTTTCGTCTGCTCTAACTACAACTTAGTAGTCATCCGTTCAAGGGCATTTCTGAACAATCAAATTAATTCGTTGTGTTGATAGAGTAAAGTGTGTAATGTAGCGACACTTTCTCGTTTATGTACCACGGCAATGTTTCTGACATCGTATAGGGATTCGTTTCGAAAAAAGACGATTCAAACTTGTAGTAAAGGCTAATTTATGAATTACATAAACACTAGAAAATTATCGTTGTGAAGTTTGAAATTTCAACAAAATGTCGTAGCTAGATTTAGAGCCTGATAATAAAAGAAAGCACCCAGGAAGATACAAGAAGCCAGAGAGACATGTGAAAGACAAGGAATGTAGATCGATAACGGAACAAAAAAGATGGTTGGAATACTCTGAGGTAAACAGAACTTCATCAACATCATACCAGCTATACAACCTACAAAGGAAAAAATACAAATAGAACACAATGCCCTAAATTAGGGAGAAATAGTTCAGGCTTAAAATTGGGAAAGCATCTGGACAGGATAATATCACTACAGATATGATGAGAGCAAATATATATACAATAGTCAACATGCTACACCTTATATTTGAAAAGATATGAGAAGAATAGAGAGTTCCAAAAGATTGGAAAGAAGGATACCTCAATCAAGATACCAAAGATAGGGAATTTAAGAAGCTTTGCAAATTACCGAGGAATTACACTGCTGTCTGTACCACAGACATGCGAGGAGGACTGTGTTCAGGTTGAAGCAGTAAGAACATTGTAGACACATCTAGCTATGTAAGTAGCCTCATTTCATTTAGACTACATATCTATACAAAAAAGATGAAAGTGTTTTTCTCCGTCTTGAACTGTTTTTGCTGTCAAAGGCCTTTTTGGCCGAAACATTCAATTTCTGTTTTTGTTCTTTGTATATTTCTTGTCAGTACGGGGAAGGTTATATTTAACAGAAGTAATTTAACATGAAGGACCAGGTCGACACGCAACTACAAGATTAACATGCTGGCTTCTGTCGAAATAGATAATGCACAGAATGAATTGCAACACTAAGCATCGTTGTAAAACAGTTATTCGAATGGAAGTCTCTCCCCCCCACCCCCCCCCCCTTTCTAAATTTCATCGATTACCAAAAGGGTTTTGATAGTCGGGACCGAAAAACCTTGTGGAAACTTTTCCGGCTTTATTGGGTACAATAACTGGTCATGCCCATTCAGAGTTCTTATGAAGAAATTACATGCCGGTTGATACACGAAGGTTCTCTAACATATGCCTTTAAAGTGAAAACAGGAGTCAGACAAGGATGTCTCTTGTCCCACTTTCTATTCATCCTTTCCATTGACTGGATAATCAAAGAATCCTCGGATAAGTTTCTTGTTATTTTTCCTCGGTTGTCAATCAGCATGCTTCTTATGACTCTCTCTACTATTACTTCTACTAGCATTCAAGACATTTAGTCTCCTTGTCTCAGCTAGGGCTCTAGCCGGCATGTTTTATTAGCAAGCCGACCAAGAGGCGTTCGGCCACAACCCCTGGAACGTTACCCTAGCGACATTACCACCGTGTAGGGGACCTGCGCTGAAAGGCAAAGGTAACGCACGGAGACTGCGTTAGAGCGAGCACGACTGCATGGCTTCCCACCAAGTGCAGTCGAATTAATTTACTAAACGCAGAAACAGGTTGGGACATGATTACAGTCGCCGTATGGATATGAGGTGAAGGCGTGTGGCAACCTTTCACCGGTGATTCTAAATATGCAGTCTTGAGGGTACTGCTCCTAGGCAACCTCTCTCTCCCATCTACGGTGTGAATTAGTCGTGCCGTAGAATAACCACATAAACCCTAGTAGAGGGCGTCGGTCTTAAACAACTACGCGGTCCCCCCCGGGGTGGTAAGGGGGGACTTTAGAGACGTTAAATATCCACCCCAACCCCCTAGAAAGCCCGGCCCTGTTGCTGCGTGAGTAGCAATCCGGCTGGCCAGGTGTTTCTTCTCTAGGGCTGCCACACTCAGCGGCCAATCGAGTTGAGGTCGAGTGTGGCGGTCTTAGGGGCGGAGCGTCCCTGGCGTGCCGCTTCGCGGCCCGATCGGAATAAAGACCACTGGGGGAGTGGTTGACGGCCGGTTTGGTTGGCGGGGTGGTGCGTTGGGGAGGACCATATGAGCCTCAAGGCTCGGTGTTCGCTGATTTTCTTAAGTAAGTTAGTTAGTCTCCTTGTCTTGATCCTCGCCTTACCATGCCGCTGCATGAAAACCCTGGTGTAATGAAGTTACTAGCGCAAGGGTTCTCAACATATGGGTCATGACCCAAAATGTGTTTGTGAAAGGTTTTCCGGGGAAGTGTGTGGGTCACCGGCTAAAAGAAGAAACTTTGCGGTGCTGTGTTTTCTGCTCAAATCAAAACGTTGACTGTCTTCGATAATTCTTGACACACAGGCTTCTTCAAGTTCATTCAAAGTTGTCTTTCTTTAGGACAGGAACTAAGATTTTGGCCCATTAAATGCCTCCCAATGGTCGACACAACGTGCGATGACGCAGCTAGGGTTGGTGTCACCCGGTGCGGTTAGTTCATGGTGGCTTTCCTCCCCCCACCCCTCCCCCGACTTCCACGATGGATTTCTTTTTGTTAAGTCCACATTATAACGATTACAAGATCAAAAACAAATTAATTGAAGGTCATAAGGTAAATATATTTAAGAACTGTAACAACGTTAATTTGTAGTTATTTTAACATTAAATTTACTTTATTTTAAACTTCCCTTTCCACGTCTCCATAGCTGCAAACCTTGTCAATCATGCTCAAATGTTAAGGGGCGATGCTAGTGGCGAATCGGCGAAATTTGAGTATTTCTGGGTTTCGATATATTAAGTTTCCAAACCCTTTTTTTATAATTTAAATTAATTTTTAGAAAATATTTGAATATTTTATAAAATATAATTTTGTAGTGATTTTTAAAATCATTTTTAATTATTTTAAATGTTTTTAATTTTTATCAATTCGATTCATGAACTTAGAATCGCCCGAGCACATCCTATTTGGTATCATTGGAAAGCTTTATTTCTCAGAATTTAGATAAATATAGCTTCCTGTCATTTACGAAAGTTACCGACCTCTTCAATCGGCGTGGAATCCTTTTATTTATGCAATTCGGTGTGCTCTGTAGATGATGCAATTTTTCTACTTGGTGTCACCGTCTGAGGTGGTGTCACACACTAACTACGCCACTACACACCCTCGCCTTATTAATTATTGTGACACCACTGCTTTATGCCTCCTAAATACAATTGATGAATTGATGATCGACTCACCACTTGTGTTCCACTCAGACTGGTTTTCCTCACGGCAGTGCAGGCTTTTCTCCACAAATTCTAACGGGTCCACCCCTGACACAAGTATGTCCCTGAGCAAGGCGATGTACGCAATAGCTAGGCGTAATGTGTCAATCTTTGATAAGCGTTTCTCAAAGGGAAATGTTGGGACGTGAAGGCGGAGTTCTTCAAACGCGCCGTTGATGCTCATCATTCTCTTTCTCTCCCGCACGTTGGCCGCCGCACGAGGCACACCTCCAAACTGGAAGCCACAATGAGATGGATACGACCCTGCAAGAAATGCGTACAAATGTATCATCGCAATAGAGGACTCAAATAGGATAGTAGGCCGTCACACTAATTCATAGACAAAATTGGTTTCAAGATATTAGATGGGAAATCGGGTGATTGGAATATTTACTAAAAAAAATTCATTAGGAGGAATAATTCCATAATGATATCATAGAATATTTCAATTGGATTTCCTTTAATATTTATTATTTATTCCTTTACTATTTATTATTTATTCCTTTACTATTTATTATTTATTTCTTTAATATTTATTATTTATTCCCATGCTAAAGCAATTTTTTAAAAGACAAAATATTTTAAGTCTCAAGAAACTAAACATTTTACTGTTCAGTTATTAATAATGGTAAAAACAGCTAAAATGAGAAGATGTGCTGCATTTATATAAGATATAACTTAAGTTTCTTGTATTCATTTCGGTAATTGGGTCAAATGGCTCTTTACCTATTACTGATAGAACTAGACAATTTAAGTTAACACAGGGATGGACAAACTTATTGTGCGGAGGGCCACATTGAAAAATATAAAGCTATTGGGGGACCACATGTATATTATGCCCAATTTTCACATGTCGATAAACATTTCTCATATGTTAAAAAAGGTCTACATGACAAAAGTCAAGGACTGTTGAAAAAAATTTCAAAATTAGAAAAAGATCGTTCATCAAAAATGGTAAACAATCATAAAGGAAAATGAAATTATGCAAAATTCAACAAAATAACGTGAAAACAAGTTAATTTAAAAAAAAAATATTTCTAAATGCCTTCGAGGGCCGCATAATATCAGTTGCCGAGCCGCATACGGTCCAATGTAGAAGCCGATTCTGGAAGTGCTGTTGCGTTAAAAATGTTTTTTATCGTCTGTTGCACTATTCCATTATTATGGAAAACAGGGTTCTTCTTGGTGGGCTTATAGAATCGTGTATCCTCTAATTGTTCATTGGTCTCTGTAATGTATATGTTTGTGTCCCAAACTACAACAGCGTCAGCCTTATCAGCACGTTGTATCACACTGTCGTTATGTTCACGTAACATAGAGTGGGGGGGGGGGGGGGGGGAGATTCTTGTTTAGGGGGGTGGGAATGGCAAGGGGTTGGGGG